AAATGAAATTCAACACAGCATGCAAGCAGTGTACTAATATTGAAGAAACAAATGCTGTCAATGTATACAGCCTTAACAACATCAACCTAGAGAAAACGACTTGCGAAAGAGACTTAGGGACTGTGAAAATTCCTCGGACCTACGGCCAAAAACAGCGCAATATGTTCGAAATAAGGCAAACAGGATACAGGGTTTATATCTGGAAGTTTTAAGCGAAGTGCGGAGGTCAGCCGTAAACCATATCTTGCGCCAGTCAGGCCCTTCACACCTGTATTATACCGTTTAGGTTATGGTGCCCTTTATTATAGAATGGATATCAATCACTGAAAATGGTGCAGCGAAGAAATGACGAAAAATTATTCCGGGACCCTTAGAAACTCCATATCACATAGATTAAAGAAACTAAACTGCATTCCTAGAAAGACAGCGAGCGGAGATATGATAGGCGACAAGTGGGTGAAAGGAATCAACAAAGGAGATATAGATAAAAGTTCTTATAATATCCGAGCAGGATTGACCTGCAACGGATTTAAGTTGATAAGTTTAGGTTTAAGAGGGAGACAGGAAGGAACTGGTTCACAACAGAGTGGTGGACGAGGAACAAAGCTTAGCAACTTTGTAGTAAGTGCTGGAACGCTGGAAATTTGTAAAAGGAGGCTAGATAGATTCATGGCTGATAGAGAGTGGAGCAATCACGACAGGAGCTGCCATGCACTGGCCAACCGGCGAATTGCAGACTCCTTATTTTCTTATGTTCGTATGTTCTTATACCGGCGAGCTAACTGATAACGATGGAGAAATGAGCAATAATCTTAATAAATATTTTTCAACAGTTTTCCCCACCGAAAATTAAAACATGATACCTGAAGCACCAACTATATACAGAGATAGTGAAGAAAATAGATTGAGCGAGATAATAGTGACTAGTAACGAAGTTGTAAGCAAATAGAGAAGCTAAAGCCTAATAAGTCGCGAGGCCCCGTTGAGATATTTGCCAGAGTATTAAAGGAATGGGAAGGAAGAGCTTAGTATGCCCAAAGCAAATTTGTTTAACCTGTCCTTAAAAACGGGTATACAGGTAGTACCAGAATCTTGGATGATAGCGAATGTAATACCGTCCAATCAGCTTTAACATCAATTGTAGGCAAATTATTAGAAGCAATAATTTCAAACTGTATTCGAAATCACCTGGAGAAGCACAAGTTGATCAATGAATCCCACCATGGCTTCTCAAGCGGGCGTTCATCTCTAATCTATTAACATTCTTTTCAGCTGTTTTCGTATCAGTGGACGAGGGGCACGACTATGATGCGGTATATATCTCGACATTAGCAAAGTCTTCCACAGAGTCCCGCACGAAAGACTAATAAGAAAAGTGGAGGCTCATGGCATTAAAGGAGATATTATAAAATGGATTAGGGCGTGGTTACAGGACAGGAAACAGCGAGTGAGCATTAACGGCACTAAATCCGATTGGAGCAACGTTACTAGTAGAGTTCCCCAAGGCTCAGTACCTGGACCATTATTATTTATTCTCTACATAAACGACATAGATATCGGCGTACTGTAGACAGCAACATAAGTAAATTTGCTGATGACACTAAAATAGGGCGTGTAATTAAATCTGACGAGGGCTCCTCAAAACTACAGGAAGCTTTAAACAAATTTTCCGAATGGTCTGAAAAATGGCAGGTGAAATTCAATGTGGACAAATGTAAAGTACTCAGTATAGGAGATGAAAACAGGGAAACCAGAAACCATAATTATGAACAACGATGTTATTGAAAAATCCGATTGCGAGAAATATTTAGGAGTAATGATAAGTAGGAATCTTAGCCAAGTAAACAATGTGTATTTGCTCGAAACAAGGCTAATAAAGTATTTGGGTGCATACAAAGGAGTGTTAGTTACAAGACTAGCGAGGTCATCCTAAAACTATATCTTGCTCTTGTGAGGCCTCACTTGGATCACGCAGTTTTTTCTGGTCACCGTATTACAGAATGGATTTAGAATCCTTAGAAAAAATTCAGAGGCGAATGACAAGGCTAATCCCGGGCATTAGGAACCTTGAGTACAGAGACAGGTTAAAGCATCTTAATTTGCACTCCCTCGAGAGACGTAGAGTGAGGGGCGATATGATAGAGGTGTATAAATGGAAGTCAAGACTGAACAAAGGTGGACATTACAAAGGTACTCAAACTATCCAACTAGGAGCGAACTCGTAACAATGGTTTTAAATTCGACAAATTTAGATTTATGCCCGAAATAGGTAAACATTGGTTTGGAAATAGAGTGGTGGACGAGTGGAACAAGTTACCAAATATCATCATTAACTCGAATACGTGGATAGCTTCAAACATAGGTTGGATGGATATATGGGCAATTAGGGGTTGGGTGTAAATGGGACTGCCCAGTATGGGCCAATAGGCCCGCTGCAGTTTCTTCCCTTCTTATGTTCTTGTGTTCTTAAGATCTCATTACCCCGCACTCACCCCAGTCTGGCCGTGAGCGGCTACAGGGTGGCTGTTAGCATAGCGCTTGTAGCGAGAGGCGGCTGGCTGTACGTCCCACACTGGCGACCTGGTTTTCACTTGGATCTCCCAGGATAGAGGAGATCGAAAAATGCGTGCTACACACGAGTGTAGGAAACCCGGTGAGACTGGCGCCAAGCCGTTACTCCACAACACCATAGCTTTTTTTTTTTTTACGGGGATTAGCCCACCCGGACTAGGTCACTGACCCACATCGGGGCCTGGGGCGAAATGTAATACTAATACTAATACTAATAATAATAGTAAAAATAATAATAATAATAATAATAAATAATAGTCACAGTAATTCATAATAAATAAAATTTATGATAAAACAAACAAAAATAAAATAATAAAATAATGATGATAATAATACAGTAACTGTAATAATAATATTAATTTTAATAATAAAGAAATATAAATGCAAAAATGAAAAAAAGATCAAAAGTGAGAAACGATATATGTATGTTGTGTTGTCAATGGTAAGAGAAACAATTGAGACCCTGCAATTGTGTGTAAATGAAGCAGAAAGTCAGATCAGCAACCTGGGACTTGGTCACAATTTTCGTGATGCCATATGGCAGCAGGGTCTACCATTAGACAACACATTATGCTTCCAATATCTTCCCAGGCAGTAGTACCTCCCTGTTTGGTAGCTGCCTACTACCTACTAAGGAATATTGCTTAGAAGGAAGGAAAATTAGATCTCTCTTCTAGCTGGGGTAAGGTACACCTGGTTGTACAGTGACCTGACCTAACTGGGCAGGATTAACTCTGCCGCTCTCCCCCTCCTATACAGTAACTGGGAGAGAAGCTTGCCCTGAGTGCAGGATGAGTGAAGTGAAATGTTGAACTCTAGGAGACAGAAATTCCCTTGGTGCTAGTGAGTACTATATGCTTACCGAGTATCGGTGCTGATTCTTCTACTAGGTACCTTCATCTCTCTTCAACTATGGGTGTATATGGTTTGTCAAACGAAGTCCAGTGTGAGGTCGACGACCCTGTTGGTAGATTTTACACTCCAGACGTGGGAGTGCTTTTTAGGGGATTGTTTGGTGCTATACATGTAGTACAACTTGACGGTAATGGTGTATTCTGGGCCAGTGTTATTGAGCACGATTACGAGTATGGTGAGGAAAGCACACATGACTCGTAAGCCCAGAAGTAAAGTAATAAGAATGAGCGGATGAGCCGCCCCTTGACGAGTCATGAGCGATTTTCTCGGTTCACACATTATTTTGGGTTTCATTATGTGCATGCTGATTTGGGCTCTGATGATATCAGGCCATTATGACTGACCCATGTTCTTTTGCAGATTATTAGTTGCAATCTTTGGTCTTTGAGCAGTATAGTAAATTAAGAACTAATATTTTTCTCGGGGTTAATATTATTTGTGGAGTTTCCAGACCACTAGGCTATGTTATGGAAATGTGTGCTGAGGAGCTGTTGAGTTAAGGATCCGTCGGGTTGTGTTCTAATGGGAGTGACAGTGGGCTTGAACTCAGGGAAGCGTGACCTTTGACCTCAGCAACTCCTGAGCTGGTGAGCTCACATTGGGACCAGGTTCATATTTTTCTATGCTGATAATTATAGGAGTGTCTAAAAATGAAAGATGTGCTTAGAAATTAATGCAAATGAATTATTGTGCTTTTATTAGTGGTGTCTGTCGATGTAAGATATGTTGAGGGATTAATCCAAATTAATTGTTGTCTCTTGTGCAATTAATATATTTTTTAGTGCTGTAAGGGTAGTGCTATTGAGTAATACGAGTATCATATCATTACCAGCGCATCTCTTTAACCCCAATCTCAGGAACACCAGTCCAGGTCACTGTAAATACTATATTAATTTTGCTTGTGCTGATTCGGTATTCTGAGGGGCCCTTCCATTGCATTACCATCCATTTAAATAAACCCCAATGGGAATTCCGACCGGTTACACACACACACATGCACACACGCACACACGCACACACACATACCTGTATACAGTATATATATATATATATATATATATATATATATATATATATATATATATATATATATACACACACGAGTACATCAATAGAAAAAACAATTCCTCACTAGTCACGAATCGAACCCAGGATTATCTGCATGGGAACAGGGACGTCAACACGGCACTATAAAAGCCACATACAATATGTTAAGCTTTAATGTATTTCATACTAAGCCTGTCTTATTCTTGAGCAACAGAAGCTTTGTACATAACCTAACCTAATATAACTTTGCCTAACCTTCTTTAGGTACGATTTGGCGTCTTAAATGAAAAAGGAGTAAACTTTGTCACATTCAAATTAATTTCCGTTATGTTGTAGCAATAACAACAAAACGTTATCCCTCTCTGGCAAAAACGCTTGGTGTGTTTTAAAGCTTAATCGGCTATTATCCTTATTCAGGTAAATAATCAGAAACTGCATACATTAAAAAAATATTAACAAAGACTTACGTTAACGCCGTAGGCAAGGAATTCACCGCCCAGGAACCAGTCAGTGAAAAACAGAGTGGCCACCACCACCATAAGAGTGAGGGACTCGCAGAAGAAGAATTTGTACGCCCACGACCTGTGTTTGTCCATTTGGTGGCTGATGTACTTAGATAAAGTGTCGAACCTTCAAGAGAGTTAACAGAAACTACAGTGTCCAAATATAAGAATATATGTGTAAATATAACCTATAACATGAAAATGTATTCACTAAGAGGTAAAGTCATTTTTGTTTTTGAAGGAAACAAATTCTCACCGGTCTTTACGGCTAAAGTAGGTCTTGAGGTCTGAGCCGAGGTAGTCGCGGACTGAGAGGTCCTGGATAACCTGCCTGAAAAGGCCGCCCTCCCAGTTCTTCCACAGCCAGTGAGGCACGTAGAACATCACACCCTGCGTTAGGTAAAGATGTGTGTGATTAAATGTCATGTATTAACAGCAATATTGTTTAAAGATATCATTTTTTTGGTGGAATTCTGGAAAAGAAAAGAGGAAATATATAAAGATAATGTTAGTAATAGAAGACAACTGAAATATGACTGACTGTTGTTATAGGTGTAGTGGATGTGGCAGTAATCTATAATTGTTCTTATAAATCCCTGTTAAATATGCGTATAAGAGACTGAAGAAGGCATTGATTTTTTTTATGACAGCCATAGCTTTAACACCCCCCTCCCCATATAGTTATAACACCTTGTTAACTATGAACCTCCTAAATGACCTTGGCTGAGCAATTCTTGGTTATACACACATTTCTTATTTACCGTTTGTCAAACTGTGTGAATAGTCCAGATATTTCGTTTAAAAATTGTCAGTACAATATGATGACAAATGAATTACATAACAAAACAGAATGTATAATTGTAGAAAGTGTATCTCGAAAGAAATAAACACACAAAGCATCAAGCAACTGATCACTGAATTTAAACTTTATTAATGGGATCACTAAAAACAAATGTGCTCTTGATTTAATTCAACGTGCCATGACACATAAAAGAAAATGAATATAACAAGCAAAATCTAAACTTTAAATGATACCTTGGGCGACAGTCATGCTGTATGTTTATTACTCGTGTGGTCACAATAGTTGTGAATACAGGCGTCTAAGTGATCTCGCAGCTAAAAACAGGTTGCTTAAAATAAGTAAAAAAATAGGTTCAAATTATAATCTTATTATAATAATTAGATACAGTAATTTAGAACTCGACAACAATTAGGTAAATAAATTATCGACCTTAAGTGTGACTCCTAACAGTTGGTAAGTAAAAGTATCTAGTAAAATAAGTCGTAGTATAAATTGTATGTCAATTCTGGGCATTCATATATATTAGTTGTCTTACTTGCTTGCAGAATAGCAACCTGCAGCCCATAGTAATGCCTTGTCATTAGGAGACTGAGTGTCTGTATGTGTACACCGAATACTTCAAAGTTTTCCAATTTTACCTCAAAAGTATTGATGAGACAGACAAGGCGGACAAGATGATCAAACCAGAGTTATGAAGGATTTCTTGATTTCTTTTTTGCTAATACTACAACATCTTGTAAATATATTATAGCCAAAACTCTTAGTGAGACCTTTGTTGTCGACCATACATCGAAGGTGTTTGTAAACCTGCCTCACTTAGTTGACTTATTGATCCGGCCCACAGCTTCCTATACACTAAGAACCTTCATAGAGGAGGACAAGTGATCGTGGGCCCTTCGTGCCCGGTGGCGAGTCCGGTGGTACAGTTTACCGAGGTTGTTATAATCATAGTCCTGGTTGTTATAATCATGGTCGTGGTTGTTATAATCATGTACCTGGTTATTATAATCATAGTCGTGGTTGTTTTAGTCATACTCGTGGTCTTTATAATCATGGTTGTGGTTGTTATAATCATAATCGTGGTTGTTATAATCATCGTTGTGTGTGTTATAATCATGGTCGTGGTTGCTATAACTATTGTCGTGGTTGTTATAATCATGGTCGTGGCTGTTATAATCATAGTCTTGGTTGTTATAATCATGGTCGTGGGTGTTATAATCATAGTCGTGGTTGTTGTAATCATGGTCGTGGTTGTTATAATAAAGGTCGTGGTTGTTATAATCATGTTCGTGGTTGTTATAATCATGGTTGTGTGTGTTATAATCATGGTCGTGGTTATGCTTATAGTCGTGGTTGCTATAACTATTGTCGTGGTTGTTATAATCATGGTCGTGGCTGTTATAATCATAGTCTTGGTTGTTATAATCATGGTCGTGGGTGTTATAATCATAGTCGTGGTTGTTAAAATAATGGTCGTGGGTGTTATAATCATGTTCGTGGTTGTTATAATCATGGTTGTGTGTGTTATAATCATGGTCGTGGTTATGCTCATAGTCGTGGTTGCTATAACTATGTCGTGGTTGCTATAATCATGGTCGTGGCTGTTATAATCATAGTCTGGGTTGTTATAATCATGGTCGTGGGTGTTATAATCATAGGCGTGATTTTTGTAATCATGGTCGTGGTTGTTATAATCATGGTCGTGGTTGTTATAATCATAGTCGTGGGTTTTATAATCATGGTCGTGGTTGTTATGATCATAGTCGTAGGTGTTATAATCATAATCGTGGTTGTTATAATCATGGATCGTGGTTGTTATAATCATCTTCGTGGTTGTTATAGTCTTGGTAGTGGGTGTTATAATCATGGTCCTGGTTGCTATAATCATAGTCGTGGTTGTTATAATCATAGTCGTGGGTTGTTATAATCATGTTCGTGGTGGTTATAATCATGGTCGTGGTTGTTATAATCACGGTCGTGGTTGTTATAATCATGGTCGTGGTTGTTATACTTGGTCGTGGTTGTTATAATCATAGTCGTGGTTGTTATAATCATGGTCGTGGTTGTTATAATCATGGTCGTGGTTGTTATAATCATGGTCGTGGTTGTTATAATCATGGTCGTGATTGTTATAATCATGGTCGTGGTTGTTATAATCATGGTCGTGGTTGTTATAATCATGGTCGTGGTTGTTATAATCATGGTCGTGGTTGTTATAATCATGGTCGTGGTTGCTATAATCATGGTCGTGGTTGTTATAATCATGGTCGTGGTTGATATAATCATGGTCCTGGTTGCTATAATCATGGTCCTGGTTGTTATAATCATGGTCCTGGTTGCTATAATCATGGTCCTGGTTGTTATAATCATGGTCCTGGTTGTTATAATCATGGTCCTGGTTGTTATAATCATGGTCATGGTCGTGATACTTACAGTATCTAATATACTATAAGAAGGAATAGAATAAAGGTTAGAATAATTAGTTAAAGAAATATTCAACCTCCTGTCTGTTTCACTGTCTATATTCACCCTGTGTCTATTGTAGTTATCTTCTCCATGCATTCCTGTTATTATCTTTTTTATCTCTTCTCCTTTTCCATGTAAATCGTCTGGTAACGTTGAAACTGCGCATCCAGACGCATGATGAAACTCTGCTACCCCCACCTGATTCTCTAACTATTTTCTGTTTCCCCTTCTTTATTCTTCTATTTATGCATCTTCCTTCCTTTGTTAATCCAAACAACATTAAAAAAAACGTAGGCTAAGAAAAAAAGGGGAGGGAGGAGGAGGGAGCAATACGATACCTGCAATACTGGGCTGATAGCGTACAGGGAATGAGGGTGCACCAAGTCCGTAGACTTGCATCGTTTTCCAGGGTAAATAAAATGGTTATGTAATTGCTTCCTAAAGAAACCATCGATACGAGACCAGGTTTGTTTCACTCTACGATTTTTTTGCGATTTTTTCACCAAGTTTGATGAAAAACGATTGTGCCGTTTCGGCTGCCCAGAACAGACAGACAGACACACACACACATACACACACACACACACACGCACACACACACACACGCCTAGTCCTATCTGTAGGTTATGTATCTATGCTACTGTGCCAAGTAGCAACCTTGTATATAAGCTACTGTGCCGAGTAGCATTTATATATGTAATTACGTGGCAACACTGCATGTGTTATGTGGCAACATTGTTTCGAGGCTGCCATATGGCAAGGCAGTTTAAGTCTGACTCTGTGGGTCGTGCAAGTCACACGCTAGTCACCACTTGTATTTCTCCTATCTGTTAATAAATGGACTTCAGTGTTACCCGGAGTTTCCCTACCCACCACTGCCTTCTTCAGGGAACACTTGGAACCTTCATGGCGCAGTGAGTAGGATCTGCAGACTTGCAAGTGTTGTGAACAATGCCGAGACTATTACGACTGCCGGCGATGTGCGCGTCGACTAGTGTGTTGTGTTGTGTTGCGTTGTGTTTCGCCGCGACGTGCAGTGTTGCGCGGTCACAGTGCGTTTTAGTGACGGTGGCAGTGTTAGTGTCAGTGTATTAGTGTGTCTAGAGCTGAGACTTGAGCATTGGCCTGTTTTTTGTCGTACCCATGGAGCACGCAGGCGTGCACCCTCCTCTTGTGACATCCGGGGAGACACTAACGTTCTCACCTCAAGATGGGAGACGCAACTCCCCACCACCATCCCCTCCACGGGCGCAGACTCTCATCCTTCACCTCCAGCGACGGACATTGCCACAATTCTGAGGTGGATGGACGACAGGGACGAGAGACGCAGAGAGATGAAATTTCAGAGGGAGGAGATACGAAGAGAGGAGGAAAAGGCGCGTTTTGATGCAATATTGGCGACCATGGCGCTAACCCACCCTCCCTCACTCGCAGGTATCGCGCACCAAGGCGCCAATACCCTCCCTCCTCCACCACACCAGCATCCTCCAGGCACTCTTGCTACTTCAACAGCTCCCAAGGCATCTGTTCAACCCCCACTCGCCCTCTTACCAGACGTCACGTTTCAGCTTTTTCGTGAGTGGCGGGGGCGGTGGACAGATTACTCCACGATGGTGGACCTTGACAGCATGCCTCCAAACAAACAGCTCATCCAACTGCGGATGTGTTTGTCGCTGGAGACCCAGAGAGTTTTGGAGCACACGTTGCAAGTGCCTCCTGATTCTACGTCTTCAGTGACGGATGTGCTCGACCTTTTGCAGGAGCACGTTAAGGTTCGGAATAACGAGGCTTTGCGTCGCCGCGCCTTCACCAGCTGCAAGCAGGCGGAGAATGAATCCTTTGACGACTTTTTTGTGTGTTTGAAGAGTTTGTCGGAGGAGGTCGACGTCTGCAAGGCGCACAGTCGGGAATGTGAGGAAGCCTGGATCAAGCACGGGATCTTGACAGGTGTCAGGCAAGAAGAGTTGGTGCAGCGACTCATCCCCCTGGACGCTTCCTCCACACTCCAGGTGGTAGTGACTGAATGTCGGTCATACGAGGCCACCATGTCCGCCACCTCTGCCTTACGGGCCCCACCTGCTGTGAGAGCTATCTCACAGTACAAGAAGGGTAAGAAGGCGGC